GTCTTTTATCACATTTATTTGCCTAAGTATGCTTATACTTTCTAGTCTTATTAGGCTAATACTCTTTAGTAATAGCTTAAATAAGTCAAATATACATCCTTCAAATAACTTAATCAATTTTATCTACGCTGAGTGTACTGCCGAAAGTCGAATAAGCTTCTCCATTTGCCATTCATTTTATTTTTAGACTCCAGGAAAAGACCAACAGACCGTGTCAGGCATCTATGAGATAAATGATCTCGTTTTTGATCAATCGGGTTCCTATTTGGCGGTCGCAGGCAGCGATGTGAGAGTGTACCTCTGTAAACAATGGGATCAACTTATTTGGTTTAATCAACACACTGCACCGGCCACTGGCGTGAGATTTGACCGCAAGGCTAATCAAATAGTGTCAGCAAGCTTAGATCGCACTGTGAAGGTCTACGGGATCCCATCCTAAGAAGACAAACTCTGTTTGTAACAGATTGTACATTTGGTCACAGCAGTCTATCTGCCACCACCTGCTGTGCAGCCGACTGCTCTATTCTTAAAGGTTTATTGGAGCTTAAATTTTAGACATCTCTCTCATAAGTCTCCCGAGTGGATTTCATGTTTATTTTTTGCATTTGGCTAAAATTCCCACTCATCGGCCCTACCTAATAGTTCGGCACACCATTTGCCCGCTATAGTGCTGGTTGGCACTATCCATACAGCCATTTTTTATATGTAATGATGGTAAATAAACCACTGTATTCTGGTAACCGGATTTATTATTCATATTTTTAGATGACAAGCCACCATATTCCACAAAGGCCCCTCGTTTTTCGAACGCTTTTGATGACAGCTGCACAATTTGATTGATAGTTGAATTTGACGTCTTGCAACCCAAAAGACCCCCATCTATTGTAAATCTCGTCGACACTAAACTATATTTAATTGTGGATGTAAGACGGTGAAAAAGATACGCCAAAATGCATGCATAGGTTTAGCTAGGCCAGGCATTCTGGTTTATTTCGTAACAGGATTTCCGACAACCTGTT